ATGGTTGATGGTTCAAACCCACTAACCATTCTCAGAGAGAAATAAGATGCTTTCTACTTCTACAAAGATTACAGCCTCATGGTCACTGTGAGTCAGAACTGACTCAATGGCACTTAACAACAACTATGTACTCCCACTGCTGCTGACACACTCCAGCAATTCAATTCCAAAATTTGGTCTTGGCAGCCCTATGTAGGGTCACTATGAGTTGTAATCAACTTGATGACACTGGGTTTGTTTTTGTTTTATATGTATATATGTTTTCTATTATGTACACATTCATATCTATGTAAAACAAGAATCCAGGAATTGATGGAATACAAATTGAATATTTCAACAAATTCATTCAGCACTGGAGCATTAACTTATCTATACCAATAAATTTGGAAGTAGCTTTCTGGCCAATCGATTAGAAGAGATCCATATTTGTGACCATTCCAAAGAAAGGTGACTCAGTGGAATGTGGAAATCATCAGACAGTATTATATTACATGTAAGTAAAATTTTGCTGATGATTGTTCAGAAAGAATTGCAGCAGTACATTGACAGGGAGCTTCCAAAAACTCAAGTCATATTCAGAAGACATGGAATGAGGGACATCATTGCTGATGTCAGATGGATTTTACCTAACAGCAGAGGATACCAAAATTATGTTAACTTTTGCTTTATCGACGATGCAAAGGCATTCGATCATAACAAACTATAAATAATACTGCGAAGAATGGGAATTCCAGAGCGTTTAGTTGTGCTCATGAGGAACCTGTATATAGACTAAGAGGCAGTCGTTTGACCAGAACAAGGGTTACTAAACAGTTTAAAATTAGGAAAGATGTGCATCAGGGTTGTATTCTTTTACCATACCTATTTATCTGTTGAGCACATAATCCAAGAAACTGGATTTTATGAAGAAGGAAGTGAAATCAGAATTGGGGAAAGACTCATCAATTTTTAACATGCAGATGACACAACCTTCCTTACTGGAATTCAATACTGATGAAGATCAAAGAGTACGGTTTTCTGTATGGATTGCAAATAAAATGAAAATCATCACAACAGACCAATAAGTATTGTCATGATAAATGGAAAGTCAAAGACTTCATTTTGCTGGATCCACAGTCGATACTCATGGAAGTAGCAGTCAAGAAATCAAACGATTTAATATACTGGATCTCTTTAAAGTGTTAAAGAGCAGAGATAACAGTTTGAGGATTAAGGTGTGCCTGACCCAAGCTATGGTATTTGCAGTGACCTAGTATGCATGTGAAAGTTGGAAAATGAATAAGGAAGAATCGATTCATTTGAGGTATAGTGTTAGAGAAGAATGTTGAAAGTACGAGGGTGAGTCAACAATTGTCTGCACTCTACTCCAGTTATATTAAAACACCTGTCCACGTCCACAGCTGATGACAACATTGAACATGTACAAGAAATGATTCTACTGAATATATGAGTGACAGTGGATTATGTGGCAAATCAGCCACGGCTCTGCCTATGAAATAATCTACAACAGACTTGAGTTTTGAAAAGTTTGTGCCAGATGGGGTACCATAACAACTCATAGAAGAGCATGAACAGAAACATTTGGACATCTGCAAACAAAATTTGGACCAATACTTAAGGAATGTACAAGTTTCTTTAAAAAAATCAGTACTGATAATGAGACATGGATTCATCACTACGAGCCTGAGAGTAAACGGCAGAGTGTGGAAAGGAAACATCCTAAGTCGCTGACCAAGAAAAAGTTCAAAAGTCAGCCATCAGCAGGAAAATTGTTGCTTACAGTTTCCTGGGATTCTCAAGGGCCAGTATTGAAAAACTATCAGGATAAAGGTTCAACAATGAAAAGAACTCATTACAGTGAGATGCTCACTGAAGAACTGAAGGCTAAATTTAGGATTAAAAGGAGAGGACTGCTTATCCATGGACATTGTGATCTTGTATGACAGTGCACATCTGCACACCTCTGCCCACACTGTTGACTCCGCAAAAACTTCATTTTGAGGTGTTAAAGCATCCTCCCTATGGTCCTGATCTTGCTCCATCAGACTTTCTCCTGATTGGTCCCCTGAAAGCAGCCCTTCTAGGACTAAGATTAACTTCTGATGAAGAAGTGAAGGCAGTGGTGTATTCGTGACTCTCAGCTCAGCCTAAAACCCTTTTTAATAAGGGAATACAACAGCTCGTTGACAGATGGGCAAAGTGTATTGAAAAACAAAGAGATTATGTCGAAAAGTGATGATGCATTTATCTTTTCTAAAAGTCTATTAAAATAAATTTTTGCTGCCAGAGTGAGGATAATTTTTGACTCATCTTCATACCATGGACTGTCAGAAGAACAAACAAAGCTGTCTTGGATGAAGTACAGCCAGAATGCTCCTTAGAAACCAGTATGTTGAGACTTTGTCTCTCATACTCTAGACATGTCAGTAGGGTTCAGTCCCTAAAGAAGGACATAATGTTTGTTAAAGTGGAGAATCAGCAAAGAAGAGCAAGACCCCCAATGAGATGGATTGGCACAGTGGCAGCAGCAGTGGGATCCAGCATAACAGTTGTGAGTATGGCCCAGTACCTGGCAGTGTTTCCTTCTGTTGTCCAGGGGGTCGCTAT